TATATATATATATACATAGACTCGCATTTATTACACCTAAACTTGATTAAAAATATTATGTCATCCTTGAGATAAGATTTTATTGTTAAAAAAATAATCAAAACCCTTCATCAGCATGCTTCACCATATTTTTGTATGCTAAGATTTGTTTGAATTATTGAACAAAATTTAATTCCAATTGAGCAAACAAACAACAACAACAACAACAACAACAAAACCTTAATCCCACTACGTGGGGTCGGCTACATGAATTCTTTTTCTCCATTGCGTCCTATTTAGTGTCATATTTTCATTTAGTTCCAATAAATTAAGATCATTTTTTATACAATAAGCCCAAGTCTTCCTAGGTCTTCCTCTGTCTTTCTTAACATAAGTCGAATCTAAAACATCTACTCTCCTAATTGGATTATCAGATGGTCGACGTTTAATGTGACCAAACCATCTAAGATGACTCTCTCTAATTTTGTCCGTCACTGGATCTACACCAACCCTATCTCGGATATATTCATATCGCATTTTTCCTCTTAAGTGTAAAGCCACTGATCCACCTAATCATTCTCATCTCGGCAACACTTAACTTAGTATTATGCTTCTCTTTTTGAAGGCCAACATTCAAAGCCATAGAGCATTGCAGGTCTCACCACCCTCTTATAAAATTTTCCTTTTAGTATAAGCGGTACTTTTCTATCACACAAAAGGCCCGAAGCATTCCTCCATTTCAACCAACCAACTTGAATTCCGCTATTAACATCCCCATCTATATCATGATCGCTTTGAACAACAAACCCAAGATATCTAAATCGTTCACACTTTTCATAATTGATCATCCAAAGTTACACTTCTGTCACTAGAGCTACTACTACTAAAATTACATTCCATGTATTCAGTTTTAGTTGTACTCAAATGAAGGCCTTTGGACTCCAATGTAGACCTCCATAATTCAAGTTTTTCTTGGGCTTTTTCTCTCGTTTTATCCACGGGAAGGATATCATCAGCAAAAAGCGCACACCAAGGTACATCCTCCTGTAAATGTCCAGTAAGGTCATCCATAACTAAAGCAAAAAGATATGGGCTTAAAGCCGATCCCTGAAGTGTAAACAAAATGGAAAAAAAAAAATTTATACAAAACGTACATTTCTAATCGTGTCAAACTTGCAGGGTATTTTGAGGACAACATATGCATGACTTAATTATACTGTGAAGAATGTTTTTGAATAATTCAAGGAAGAATACAAAAAAATTAGAGAAGGTGATTGTAGGTATGTTACGGTCCAATTTTTGGCCCTTGTTATGGTGTAATTTTCTGCCCCCAACAGCTAGCTGGCTTTTGGGGGTAAAAGCAACTAAAAAATTTGATTATTATGCCGCCTGTCAACTCATCGACAGTGCTCTTATAATGGCCAGCCCAATGGCTAGCCGGCTGTCGGGACAAAAATGATAAAAAAATGATTTAATTATTATTGTCACTGGTAACCTCAACAACAATTCCCTGACTTCTAATATTTGTGGTTAAAGAGACTAGTGACAATGTCATTTTTTATTTTTTTCTTTTTTAAATGTGAAGCACTTAAAATCAAAAAGATGAGAGTGTCGGTTTTTAAATTTTCTCCTTTTTATAAGGTTTTATGTGGTTATAATTAGGAAACAGGAGTGGCATGCATGAAATGTTGCCTTGATGGATAATTTTCATATACTTCATAGCTAGCATGATCGGTCATCACATGTATACTCAGATGTTGTCTTAATACAATATGCATAACTTGCAAATTATAAAGTCTTCTTTATTGTCTTATTTCCCCCTTGGAAAGTTTAGGTTTGTTCTTACATTCTTGTATATTCTGAGTTCATTTGCCTTTTGGGTTATAGGGAGAACATCATGAATTCCTTACAGATCTTTCCTGCTATCTGAGGAAGTAGATAATTTTTCTATTCCTCTTTTATAATTAACCAAAATGTTGAATGATGATTGGATATGGATGTAATGTCCTCACTGTAGACTATTGATTGTCCATTAACATTTGTACTCATTCGCTGTTTATGGTTTTATCATTTGCTAGGATCTTCATTTCTTATTCGGTAGAAATTCTGAGGGTAACATTTATCAAACATGAACTCTTTGTGGATGTTGGTGCAGAACATCCTTTTGAAAGGAATAATAACTACTGCTTTCTTGAAGAAGGATATGGAGGGATTAGCAATTGATTAACCTAGTGCGTTCTAATTATTATTTTCTGACAGGATCAATGTTTCTAGATTATCTTAAGAATAATTTTAATACGTTCCTTATTAAAAATAGGCTGTATCATTATGTTTTTGGAGATCATGCTTGAGTTAAAATTTTTTATTTATATGTGAGCTTGAAGAAACTTACAATTGTAACGGACCTAAGGTCAAAAGCCTGCAAGTCTTTGGGGCTAAGGGTGATTAGCAGAAATAAAATAAGTATGCACTTTTTTTGAGCTGTCTTTATGCCATATTCAAAACCCATCCATTCAGTAATCTACTTTTTTTTATTCAGGTGCTTCTTCTTTGGTGATATTTCTTCAAAAAGAGACCCGGAAGTTTATATAAATCACATATTCCGACTATATGACTACTTCCTTGAGAATTTTCATCAGTCAAATCACCATGATAGTGGTAGAAATTCTTTGGTACCTCTGATTATTAACACTGCTGGGTGGGTGAAAGGTAATTTTTCTTTGAACTATCCTAAATTGCTTCAGGTTTAAATTTTGCAGAATAAAATGTCTTTAGCCAGGGAAAACTTATTAATGGCTGCTCAATGCTAATTTCTTCATTTAGTCTGTGGTAATCCATTCCTATTATTTTAGGTACTGGATTTGATGTTTTGGTGGAACTCTTGAGATATGTTTCTCCCACTTATGTTGTTCAAATACGTATATCAGCTGAAAGTAAGAATCTTCCAACTGGTGCATTTTGGTCGAGTGATGAGAAAAATGGGCCTTCAGAATTAATTGAAGTACCCGCAGTATTCACTGATATGTTGATTCGATCGTGAGTTTCTTCTTTTTAATGTTAATTTTATTCTAAATTGTATTTTATTTAAGAAACATCTATGTGGAATTGGTTGTGAGTTTAGGATAATTTGTGTACTTTTTATTATTTTTTTTCTTGATCTGAAGCCAGTTTCTCATTGCCTTAAGCTTGGCTCAATGTCATTAATTCGATCTCAGGCTGAGTTGGGTTCAGTTATAAGCTGACTTGATCAAACCTTGATTTGATCTTGACCTCACTCATAAAGTTCAATTCAAGTTTAATTGTGTTGGCCAAAATTGAATTTTCTCTTAATACAAATTCTTAGTCTAACATATAGGCATAGACACGACTCATTAACTTAAATTCGAGTTTAATTGTGTTGGCAAAAATTGATTTTTTTTTTCTCGTATTACAAATTCTTAGGCTAAAACATTGATATTATATATATATGTATGTATGAATTTTGACATTAATTCAAATATTAACACATACATAATTATATGTATGCCTGCATTTATAGATGCATGTCTTACATGATATGCATTTTGATTAGAGGTTTAGCTAGCTCAATTTTTTTAGGCTGGGATCAATTCAAGTTCAAATTGAGCTACATCAAGCTCGATGAATTTGATTCCAGTTAGGGCCAAAAAATTGATCTGATTTTGATTTTCAATCTTTGAGGTGACTTCACAGCCTTATCAACAATAGATTTGATGATGAAGAAAGTTCTCACACTCATAGATTGTGTATTCCCAGGCAAACAGGAGGAAAAGGATGAAACAGAAAGTAGCAGAATATCTTTCTGGTAATAGAAATCTGTAAAAAACTGTTTACAACCTACTTAAATACCCTTTTATGCCTCCTCCACTATATTACTAACGGTAAGTATTAGTATTGCTATGAAGTAAGATTATGAGTAAGTAATAACACTATAGAGAGATTAACGAAAAAAGTATATTTTGGTCTATTCAAGGTCTCAACTACACCAGATTCCCCTCGAATTTAGAAGAACTCCTCTTGAGTTTGGAGATGGCAACGTCATCCGGAGGATGGTACTCTTAGATATCCAAAATGTTGAATGTAGGTGAAATTTTCAAATCAGGGGGTAAAGAAATGATATAGGCAGTCGTTAAGCTTTTGTGCAATTGGAAATGGACCCAATTTTTGCGGTTGTAATTTAGATTAGGTGCCAGTTGGAAGGTGTTCCTTCTGTAGATAAGCCATGACCAAATCTCCAACTTTGAATTTGTTAAAGCGCCTTTTAAGATCCACCTGTGATTTCTGTCTAGTTACTTAGAGAGAGTTTTCCTTTGATGTCATAAAGCATTGTAGTGAAATATGTAGCTAGATGTTCAGCAGATTTGTTGCGAGCTTGAGGAAGGATAGCGAGGTCTGCCGTATGATTCGCTGCTTTGGTATAAACTATTTTGAAGGGAGGCTTGCCCATGGACCGGTTAGACATGGAATTGTTGGCAAATTCTGCTCTACTAAACACTTCATCCCATTGCTTGGGGTTTTCTCCTGTTAGACATCGAATAATATTTTTGGGAGTATTGTTAACTACTGTTGTTTGGCCATCAGTTTGAGGATGGTAAGCGAAGCTCATTCTAAGTTCAGTATGTAGACTTTTCCACAATTTCATCCAAAAATAACTAATAAATGTAACATCACGATCCGATGTAAGACTACAAGATAATCCATGGAGACGAACAATAATTGCAAAGAATAATCTTGCAACATTAAGAGCATCATAGGTCTTCTTACAAGGAACAAAATGTGACATTTTAGAACAATGATCGATCATGATCATTACGGAGTAAAACCTTTTTTAGTTTTTGGAAGCCCGAGGGTGCAGGTTTTGATTGGGAGAAATAGGGAGAGGTGGGCTGGCTGTAGGTTATGGTAGGGGGGAGTGTAGGTTTACGGCAGGGAGAAACAGGGAGGTTGGGCGGTAGTGCTTTGAGGGGTAGTTAATGATATCAAGAGAGGCTGGGGTTGTGGTGGCTGCAGGAGAGACGGATGAGGGTAGCGGTATGGAAACAGGGAGAGGGATGTGAGGTCTGGCAGCTGGAAGCAGGGAAGATGATGTGGGGGCTGGCAGCTAGAAGCAGGGAAGATGGCAGCGAGCAACGGGAGGGCGGAAGCAAGCAATAGAAGGGAAGATACACATCACCTTGGAGTGCCGAAGCACCACCAACTCCTCGGATATAGCCCTACAAAAGTGAAAAAGATTCCACACAAAAAATCTGAAAGCAAACACTACAAAGACTCCAAAAACTCTAAGCATAACACCCCTATTTATAATGAGAACTATGACTTGTTTTAGGCAATGTTTAAAATGAGAAAGAAAAATAAAAATAATAAGAATTCAGAGTAGGCAAGGATGAATAAACTAATAGAAATTCAGATTAGGCAAGGATTAGTAAAATAAATCAGAATTTATAATCAGTAAGGACTTGTAATAAAAAAGTACGAGGAAGGAAAAAGTTAGGGGTAGAGAAAGGAAAGGGAGAGGTGTAGGGTTGGCAGCCCCTCCCTTGCGGACCTGCCAGTCCAGCAAAACTGGACTGAACTCTCCAATCCAGTCTATTGTGGCCCTTGCGGACCTGCCAGTCCAGCAAAGCTGGACTGAACTCTCCAATCCAGTCTATTGTGGCCCTGACGTCAGTCTCTTGGGGTTGGGAGAGCTTCGATTTCATTGGTCGAAGCTTCCGGTTCTTCATCTGCAATCTGAGCAGCACCGGGATCTCACTGGCACCCGCGGGTCTTCCTAGTCAAACTTCGGTTCTTCCCCAACTTGCGAGCAAATGTCCATATCGATCTGTCCTCCCGAGGCCATGGGCCACGCTTATACCGCTCGATCTTCCCAAGGCCATGGCGTAGATGGTACAGTGTTGACCTAACATACCATCGGTCACATCTGTCCTGTTTCTGGAGTGGGTGTCTGGGCCGTCTCATTTGATGTCATCACTAAAATTGGTCCCACTGACGCCTCTCTGCCAATAAGGACTCCTGTGATCTCAGTCTCCGTCGAGGGAAGTAGGATGATGTGCTTCCCATTCTCGGTGAAGGAATACATGTTCCTGAATCCATTGTCGTCAGTCCTCCACTCAAATTTTCACGAATAAAGAAGTCATTGCTAATTAAGTCGAGAAGTTCGGTGCCTAAAATGTGAATGTTTAGAATATGTCAAAACTATGAATTATAGATTGGTAAATAATTATATGAGAGGGATGGTTGAAATATCTTTGGAAATAGATTAGTGAAAAGTAGACTTTGAGTCATTTATGAATGTACAACTAAGGGGGGTTCAAGATGCATTGATAAAGTTAAGGTTGATGAGTTAGGAAGGAAAATAGCAGTTTAAAAGGTAACATGTGCACAAGTTATGCAAAATTATATTTGCGTAATTATAGTTAAAACACTTCATGTAACACTCAACATCAGCACATAGAGAATGGGGATTCATAAATTGATTGATACAGTTGGGATGAGGTTGAATTTGGTTTTATTATGGTGGTGATGCAGAAGTTGTTAAGCACTGAATTTGTTTGATGAAGAGTAACATTGGCAAATGATCATTTTGGCTCAAGGGGCCAAATAGCATATAAGGATCTCTATTGTGATATGGTCATTATGGATACAGGCTATTGTTCTCAGTATTGTTTTACCAAAAGCTTGCATATACAGTTTTAATAATTATGAAAGATTTAAATTTCAGGTATTTTATCATTTTTTAATTGGATTCAGAAGAGCTGTTGAAGGCTTACAGTTGAACTGTATTTAGTTTTATTAATCTGAGCTAATCAAGCCAAGCAATGCATGCGTGTTCATCATCAGAAGTCATCAATTGTGGCCTGAAATGAAGAATTGAATGGATGTTTAATTACACCTATCTGGAAAGTTTTTCAATTTTTTTTTTAATTTTAGCTGTTGCTGCAATGAGAGAAGGATAGCTGGTGCAATGAGAGACGCTGTGGAACTTTTGAATCATTACACGAAAGCCATGTAGTCGCATTATTTATGAAAAATGTGTAATTTTGGGATGTTGAAGGCATTATGATGCAAGCAAGGAAGATTAATGGGTTATTGATGCAGATCTAAGGTTGGATCTGCTATATTTCCAAATTCTAATGCTGCTGAACATGATTTCTGATACTTGATTCATATGTGAAAGGAATCAGAATCTTTTCACAACCCAATATTGTTCTATACCTCATTACCATCTTCCCATTGCCTTTAAAGTTAACGAAAATATGATTTTTTTTAATGCAAATTAGATGGCATGTCAATGTACCAAGCAACTATCAAGGTGTTTTTCAGTATCTAAAAAATAACTTTTTTAGAAAGCTTTAGGAGATGAAATGACTGTTCTTTCTGTAAGTTATGATCAAGTGCACTTATCATGGCTTTGCTTGTTTCAATAAAAAAATAATAAGCACTTCAATTGTGATTCACTGCTTATACTGTTTTGGAAAAGCTGTTGATATATGACTCTTCTAGATTGTTTGATCTTGATTTCGGCCTACTTAATTTCTGCATAAATCCAGAAGTTCATTTTGTTGGTCGTTTGACAATGAAAGATGCTGTCATATTTTGAAGTTATAGTGAGTTTTTGGGGATAATAAGACTATAT